AGAGAGAGAGAGAGAGAGAGAGAGAGAGAGAGAGAGAGAGAGAGAGAGAGGGAAAGTAGAACCAGATGAACCAGAAAGTAAGGACAAATGTGTTGACCAGTCTATTATTAAACACCGTGAGTATACTTCAGATGCCTCTGCAGTCGCTCCATCTCAAGTCATTCAGGATGGATCGACAAAGGAACACCCAGAGGCCCAAGCTCTTCTGAAGGCAGCTGAGCAACCGTTTTTTTGGCTTTGCTTCCGAACACAACAAAGGAACTGCTGACACGTTCCATCACCAATCATATTTAGAACACAATGGAAAAAAAATGCTGTGATCTCCTCGGAGGGAGAGTTTCGAGATGGATGATGTCAATGCACGATGTAGAATACGACGATGGTGGTCTCGATGATGGCCTCATTGTGAGGTTAACCTTATGAAGCAGAAGAAAAACACCAGGCCGAGCAGCCTAATAATGCAAACGTATGCATTTTGTTCCAAACAGTATTGTGCAAAAGTGAGAGGCCATCACGATTCATCGTACACAACAGTTCAGCCTTGGCGGAGGTCTATTCTCGATGGACTGGCACTCTCCTCATTTGGTCATTTGGTATTGTTTAAAGATCACAACTGCAATCAAACTGACCGACAATTTTGAAAGTGTAAATTCCAGATTAAAAAAATATACTCTTTTCCCATATGTTTATATGACGCAATGCAATGCTCTTGACATTGCTTTTAAATGTCTTCAGTGCTTTTGTTTGTAAATGCTTTTAAATGTATACTTTTAATTATGTGAAGCACATTGAGTTACCTTACGTATGAAATGCTCCATATTAATAAAGCTGCCTTGCTTATTTTGCAAGTGGTGAGACAAAATGTAAATATTGCGGTGAATCATGTCATTTTCTCCAGCTCAAATGTGCACTTCATGACAATGTTGACTTTTTAATATCACAAACGTCTCCAGAGTCTTTGTGGCCTGTGCCACTATAAACAACCAATAAAAACCTCATTGCACAATACTGTACTGTATTGTGTTTTACACACACACACACACACACACACACACACGCACACACACACACACACACACACACACGCACACACGCACACACGCACACACACACACACACACACACACACACACAGTTTTCATTTTTTTCACGTACTCAGATACAAAATCGGTAATTGCTGTCAATATCATTGTCATTAAAAAATGATATACTGTAGTGAGTTATTCTGCAATTTCACTGCACTACTACTATACAAATAACAAAACCGTGTCGATTAAACACAATTTTATTGAAAACATGCAATTTGTAGTGGCTGTAATATCACCAAAGTTAATATCTTAGGACTCCGTTATAAATGCCCACACATATGGCAAAGCTCAATTTTCGGAGCAAGCTGACGCGTTAAACAGAGTTATCAGATGGAAAAGTTATTGTAAGCGTTGGAGGCATCGCCTCCGTTATTGAATACGTGGCTTTGTTTCGCCCCCACACAGTGGTGTTTAAACAAAGCAATTGTGGTGAGTGACGGTGAGCAGGGTGATACAACACAACGCTCAAGACAACGTTGGTACATTCACTTTCAAAACACACAATCAATATACACGACGCCGCCAAGACAACAGCAGCCAACTAATTTCCATATACTCAATGCGTGCATCTGTAAGCACTAAAAAGAGTAAAAAGCAAGTTACTCTTTGCAAGAGGAGCCGGCTGTATATTATTCCTGAAATGCATATCACAACAGCACTGGCACTAAAGGTCACCAAAAAGAGAAATGAACAACGATGCTAAGAGAATCATCCGAGAGGGCAGAAATCTTCATCTCTTTGAAAGTTGTTGACACACAAGAAATAGTGGTGAGGAATGTTACTGGATGCATTTAGGAGGAATGCAGTACAAGCAGGTGAATCGGATTGGCTGCTTAGCGGACTCCTTTCCTGCCCAAGAATCGCAGGACTGCATAGTTGTAGGTGGTTGCAACCAAAAACAGAATCTGCAAAGCAAGAATGTATCGATGATGAAAAGGAGAGGAGCAGTTAAAACAGCCTGCAGTGATTTGATTCGCCGCGTTGGCAGATTTTTTAAAAAAAGTCTGCCAACGCAAGCAGGACAAAACGTTGGGCAAAGAGATAAGAATAAAAACAAAACATAGTTTTCATTTAGTTTGACCTAACGAAATGAAATGAAATGATCAAAATCCCAAAATATTCATCACCTTTCTGAAGATATGGTTGACCAGTATGGTTCATTTATAGTTGATTAAAATGCTCCAGATCAGTGGTTCCCAAAGGTTTTACATCAAGTACCACCAAAACATACAGCGCTGCATAATGACCAATATTAAAATAAAGGAGCATAGTGGGCCTAAGTGTTTATTTATTAATTTTTTTAATGAAGGATTTTATTCTTATTTGTCGATATTGTTATTATTTGACAATACACAGGTTTGTTTGGCTGGATAGGATCGGCACATATTTAGCATTTTATGTAGTTCATGCCAGGGATGTTCTGTTCAGCCTTTGTTAATAATGCGAGGTTTCTCAGCAAATACAGTCTGATATCTTTTTTTTTCAATTTTTCCCAATACTGTACATGTATTAAAAATATATAGATATATTTATTTTTTAGGTGGGTTATCGTGATGTTCGCTCTTTTGCATACCACTAGAGGGAGCCTACATATCACCAGTTGTACTCATATTACTGTGCAAGATTATTCAATATGTTTCAGCTCCGAAACAAGGAGAGCTGTGGTGTTGTTTTTTTTTAAAACGTACACTTTATTAATGCTTTTAACACACTCAACAAATACAGACACGTCTCTCTCTGATTACGTGTCTCCACTTCCGCCGTTCGACGCGAGAGGCGTTCAAAGACCGCCTCAGAAAAACGTAAATTAACGATAAATTCAATGACACGAAGAAAATCGAAAATAATGCACCAAAACAGAAAATCAAGTGAGGAAATCACAAAATAAATTCTAGTAGTGGTGGAGTTGTGAACATACAACAAAGGAATAAAAAACAAACAATTCTGAGACAGTCCAGCCCCTACAAATGGAACCCGACAACGGTGGCAAAAAAAGTAGTTCTTAAGGATCTAAATAATTTTCCAAAATATCATTATTGGCTAAAATAATTTCCCCCAATAAACAATCAAAATCTGACCAGTTTGTGACTGATTTAGGTTTAGAATGTACAGTACAGGTACATATCAAGGAAGTAGTCATGTTTCTATGACTAAAAGCACGCCAATGCTCACCAATGCCAAGAGGGTGATTCCAGCACCAGCAAATGCAGCAATGTACAGGTCATAAGTGAGGTGAAACTGAAAGAAACAACAAATCAAGTTAGTATCAGGCTGTGACACTGACACTGATATACTCGAAGTACCCCCAGGATGAATAAAGTCCACAGATTCTAACCCCTGCTGTGTATGTGTGTGTTATCCTAGAATGCAATTATTCTCACCAACATAGATTTTGGACAGTTGCTGCGTAGTATCAGCAAGGCAGCATACATCATCATTCACGGAGAAAAAGTTTGGGTGAAAGGGGGCGTAAAATGGAATATGGAAATGATCTACTCACTTCGCTCGTTTTGCAAATAGATGCCAAGGTCATTCCGCAAGTCTTGCCCGGCACTGCATTCCAGGGAAGCAGCCCTTGAATAGAGACGTGACATCAGTGATGTATCTCATACCAACACTGATTGCGGATGCCTCAGGAAACATTTGCATCCTTTGTTCATTCACTTGCAGAGAAAATAAACTGCAGCAAAGAAATTCAGCTGAAGTTATCTTGGGGAATTTCATGAGCAATTTACTAACTACCTTTGCATTTACGTAATCCCCGATGATTAATTCATTGCCTCGCAAAACCACATTAATATTCTCATCGGGTGTACATGCGGTCAGTCATTATAGGAGCATCGCACCATATTGCCTGGCGTCCATGCAAATCCACCCGTGCTGATTGATGCTGGGGGTAGTTTCAGCCAGGATGTTGATGTCGTGGCAGGTCTGCTCCATGTTGAACAAGAAGTAGACTGGAATAGCAGTGAAGGCAAACACTGCCAGCCAGATGAAGGCCAAGATATACGTCACAATGATAAACTGTTGAAATAAAAAAAAAAAAGAAAAAAGTGGAACGTAGGGTCATGGCAATGCAGCAAGTTGCTGTGTGATGAATGTGGCATCATCAAGTCTGCTATTAGCCATAATTCATTTTTTTGAGTGGTAAAAAGAATGCATTCCGCATCGCCAAAACGACCCATGGACATCA